CCTCCTGCTCCTCCTCCACCTCTTCAGCCTCCACCTCCACCTCCGCCTCCTCTGCACATCATCATGCTGGAAGCGCCGGATCAGCACCATCAGCATTGACATCATCATCACCTCCTCGTTCTCCTCCTCCTCCTCCTCACTCCTCTTCCTGCCTCATGCCCTCCTTCTCATCATCATCATCATCATCATCATCATCATCATCATCATCATCATGATCAGTATCATCATGATCATCATCAGCATCATCATCATCAGCATCATCATCATCATCGTCATCATCATCATCATCATCATCATCATCATCGTTATCATCGTCATCATCATCATCATCATCATCATCATCGTCGTCGTCATCATCATTATATTCGCCTCCACCTCAGTCGACTCCATCTCCTCCTGCTGCTCCGCCTCATCATCACCATCAACATCATCATTAGCAAAATCACCAACAGCATAATAATGGTGATCGTGAGCATCATCATCATCATGATGATGATGATGATCATCATCATCCTCATCATCCTTTTCATCATCGTCGTCGTCAGTACCATCATCGTCATCACCATCGCCATCATCAGCATCACCACCATCGTGGTCGTCGACATCATCATCACCATCATCATCATCATCATCATCATCATCGTCCTCCTCCTCCTCCTCATCATCATCATCATCGTCATCATCGTCAGCATCAACATCATCGTCAGCATCGTCAGCATCGTCATCATCATCACCATGTTCACCACCACCACCACTGCCACAGCCATCCTCATAAGCAGCAGCATCATCACCATCTGATCATCATCATCAGCATCCTCATCAGAATCGTCATCGTCTTTGGCATGATCAGCACAGTCAGCATCGTCCGAACCATTGCCATTCCATGTTTATTAGCATCATAAGCGCCATGTTCACCATCGTCATCATCACTATCACCATCATGATCATCATCATCAGCAGCACCAGCAGCATCACCATCATCAGAGCATCATCCTGATCATAATCAGCATCGTAATCATCATCAGCAGCGTTGTCAGCATCTGAACATAATCACCGTTGCCCGCATGTTCATTACACCCATCAGCATCATCCTTATCTTTGTACTCTTGACCATCATCACCAGAACCATAATCATAAACATCATCATCACCATCACCATCATCAGCCTCAGCAGCATCATCGTCATCTTCACCACCGTCACCATCAGCATCGCTGTCGTCCCCGTCATCATCATAATCATGACCAGCATCACCAGAACCATCATAACTATCACCATCATCATGGTCGCCGCTTTCGTCATCCTCATCATCATCATCATCATCATCATCATCATCATCATCATCATCATCATCATCATCGTACTCACACGATCATCACCTCACCATGGTTCACATTAACATCATCACCATCAACATCACCACCATTAGGTATCATCATCATCGTCATCACCACCACAACCATCAACCTTATCGGGCTCAGCATCATGATCGTCGACATCGTCATCGTCGACGTCGTCATCAGCATCATCATCGTCGCCGCGATCACCAACAGCACTATCAGCATCATGACCAGCAGTATTGTGAACCGCATGGTCATCGCCAACCTGATCCCCATCGTCATCGTCATCACCTCGTCATCACCATCATCATCTTCATCAGCATCCTGATCGCCCTCTCGGAGGCACGCGCCGCATGCTACCGGCAGCCCCCTCAGTCCCCGCCTGTCGGTCAGGAAGAGGTTCGTGTCCGCCTCGAGTCCCTCGCCCTCCGCCCGTAGGCGAAGGCTAGGGGCCTCTCCAGGCGGAAGGCCGGAGGAGGACGGGCGACGAGGAAAAGAAAGGAGGAGGGGACAAGGGAGGGGAGGAGAGGAGGGAGGAGGGAGGAGGAGGGAGGACGGAGGCTTCCTCCTCCTCCCCTTCGCTCCAGCCGAAATGTCCCCCTCCCCTCCCTCAAGCCAAGATGGCTGTGTTGCCCGGCGCCCTTTTCGGGCCTCCCAGGGCCTGCGGGGGTCATCGGGGCTCGGAGACCTCTGGTGGTCGGGATCCGGGGCGAAAGCGCAACTTACCAGAGGACGAGTCATCCCTGCTCCCTCTCTCTTTCTCCTCCCTCCTCCCTCCTAACCCCTATCCTCCCCCTTCCATCATCCTTCTCATCGTCCTCTTCCGCCACCCCCCCTCGTTCTCCTCCTTCTCCTGCGTCCCCCCTCCTTGCACACTCCCCCCTGTCACGCTCCCAGACATGTCGATAGGGCAGGACTCGCGTTTAGCCTGTGACCTCCTCGCTACTGATCATCCTGACGTTTGAAGTTGCAGCAGTTGCACGAAGGAAGGGTGGTTCAAAAATGAAGCTCAAGCCTCTGTGCCGTGCCGTTTCGTCCTAAAAGCTTGCCAAAGTCAAGATGGAGGGCGGCTCCTTTTCAAGAAGATTGGGCTCTCGCCGTAGCGCCCTGTGCGCTCCGCATGAAGGCTTGCAACAGTTTGGAGGATGGGGGGGCGGCCGTCGCCTTGGCGCCACGCAGCTCGCCCAAGAAGATTGCCGCGGTCCCAAGGAAGGCGAGGGGATAACTTTCAAAATCGGCGGCCCAGCGCCACGCACTTTCGTTACGACGACGACGACGACGACGACGACGACGACGAGACGCGGCGAAAGACGGCGGCCAGGTCCCGTGGCGCGAGCGCAGCTGCACGGACGGAGAGTGGTCCTTTTCAAACCGGGGCTCGCGCCTTGGCACTTGGCGCCGCCCGCACTCAAGATTCAGGCCTGCAGCAGCTGCAGAGGGCGGCTCCTCTTCCAAGTGGAGCTCTCGCCTGAGCGCCACACGGCTTCGGCGGCACGGAATGTAGCCATTAGAAAAATGGAGACCGCTTCCTTTCCGAAAGTCGAGCTATCGCCTGAGCGCCAGACAGCTTCGTCGTCACAGAATGTAGCCATTAGAAAAATGGAGACCGCTTAGCGCCACGCACGTTCGTCTTGAGCGTTTGCAGAACTACAAGAACGGAGGGCGGTCTCTGTTCATAATGTGACCCTCGCATAAAAAGCCCTTAAACTAATCCGCCTCCGTGCCTCCAGCAAGTAGTGGAGCGCCCCAAGGCTCAAACACTTGTGCGACGTACAAGGACTCTCGTCATTTTGTCGGCCTATAGGGTTCCACAAGGCAGGGCCCCCTGGGTGCCAAAAATTGGCGTCCATTCCTCGGGTATGTCGGCACCGGGCAAACTCTAGGGAAACCAAAACGACTCCAAGAGCGCCCAGCACGGTTCAAGGGGACCCAGAGAGAGGTCCGAGAGGGCCGCGAGTCGCCCAGAGATCGCTCCAAGACGCCCAGTATGGCCCCCAGACGACACTATAGGGCCCCAAGACGTCTGAAGAGGGCTCCGAAAGGCCCCCAAAGAGAGCCCCCAGAAGACAAAATCAGTTTACATATGTTTGACAGATTCCAACGATCTCGTCTGTTCGGGCTTCCGGCGCCCCAAGACCTCCGAAAACGGCCCCAAGACCGCCCTAACACAGCCCAAGAGGCCCCGACGAGGACCCCAGGCTGCCGAAAAGGGCGCCAAGACGGCCCAAGAGGCCTCCAAAACGGCCCCGCAGACCCCCAAGACTGCCCTGAAGCGCTCTTAAGCGAGCTCAGGCTTGATGTGGCGAACAGCGTCTTCTTGCAACTTGATGTCCTCTCTCCACTTGAGTCGGCGGGCAAGCTCTTTGCCCAGCTGCTTTTCGGGTTTGGATACGACAGAAAAGGCCTGCTGCACCCGTTGGTGGACAGGGGTGTCGTCAGTCGGGCCCCATCGCTGCTGCCATCTGTTTGAACTCACTCTCGTACTTGATAGCTGTGGCAAGATCTCCGCCTTCGCGAGCCACAAGAGCAAGCTGATGCGCCCCGTTCGCCGGTAACTGACCGTGCAGTCCGACAGGCAGAGGCATGCTGCTGGAAATAAAGTCATCCAATCCACTTGCGCCAGACTTCTGACAGGCCTGCTGCTGCTCGAGCACAACAGGAGGACGATGAGCCCAAGCACCGCGAAGAGGCCGATCAGCAAGCGCTGGCGTGACTGCCGAGAGCAGCGCCCCGAAATGCGTGCAAGCGTGATGAACGTGGACGCTTGCTGCATCCGCATTTGCCACACTTGACTTCAGCAAAGTCGCTCTCGCCTTTGCCCCCCCGATCTCGGGGGCATACCACCACTTGCAATCGTAGTCATGTAGACCGTCTGCTGCTGGCCGGCGCCACGGGGGAGAACACACTGAGCGCCCCATTCATTGGCCACCACCACTGCGAGTAAAGGAACAGGAATGGTGGAGGAGGTGGAAAAAAGGAAGAGGAGGAGAAGGCGAGGAGGAGGAGGGGGAGAAGGAAGAGGAGGAGGAGGAGGAGGACGACGAGGAGGAGGAGGGGGAGGAGGAAGAGGTGGAGGTGGGGGAGAAGGAGGTTGAGGTTGAGGGCCGCTGAGAGCGCGTCCGAGTCGAACACGCCTCAGGAACAAAGGAGAACCCTGAGGGGGCCGCGAAGCGGCGGAAATAATATGTACTGAGAGGGCGGGCGAGGGCCAGGGAAAACCGACGCCGTGAAACCGCTCCCAGGAAAGGCAAACGAGTTACGTCTGCCCTTTGCCCTCGGGGCGCTTGGAGCGCCCTTGGCGGCCGTGGAAGATCCTGTCGATCAACCCCAGCTGGTTTGCCCTCGTGCTCGGATTCTCTGAGAGCCCAGCACACGGACGACGGAGCTTCCGAACGCTCCGAGACGTTTCGAGGGTCGTCGTGCCAGCACACTTACGGCAACAATAGACCGAATTCACACAGAAGACATCGTGGCCCAGAGCCGCAAACTCGGCTATGAGCTCGGTCGACCCCGAACTATTTGAAGCCTCGCCGATCTCTCGCTGCTGGGGAGGGTCCACAGGCCCAGGAAGGGGTTCCTCCGAGGCCTCGCGAGGCCCCTCACCCAAAAAGTCCGCGACGAGCACTTGGGACGGGGCAATACGGGGGTCCGACGCTTTGACCCAGACCTCCCCCGAATTCTTAAACCATTCCGCACAGGCCAGGCGCTGGAGGCTAGAGGGCTCACATGTCCTTCCCGACCCTGTCCTAAGCCAAGCAAGAGTCGAATCCGAGCGAGCCGATCTCCCACATACCCTGCACCTGTGCTCCTTGAGTCTCCTGCACCACCAAAGATCATGATCCGCCTCACGGCCGAACAAGACTGGCTGACCCAGAACCTCACGAGCCTCTGGATCCTGAACGGGCGGCGGAGGACCTCGGCCCCAACTCTCCGAGACAATGACGCGTAAACATGCCCACGACACAAACTGCAGCGCGGCCTTATGGATTTTCAGCCTCTGTGAGCGACTCCGAGATCGCGTTGGCGATCATGTGATGCGCCGCCCCTGCCTTGGCGAAGTAATCAGCCCAGGCAGTGCCGAGCCAGTTCTCCAACTCATCAGGGTTATCCAGCACACTGTCGGGATCACGGCGTGCAGGAGTCCACTCAAAACGGATTGGGTGCTCGAGCACACGACGCCGAGCCACCTGAAAAAATTCGCGCCATATCTTGGCGTGTTTGCCTCGACCGTGCTGAAGAGAATGATCCCCAGATTTGCCCTCTGTTACCAGCCCCAGGAGGTCAGACACGAACACCTCATGATCAGGATGAAATTCCAAACCCATTTTGATAGCGTATCTCTCAGCACGGCCAACGGTCTGCACATAGAAGGGCAGCGGTCCGTAGACCGCACGGACTGGCAGCAGGGTCTTGGGGTCCAGCTGGATGCATGAGTACCCGCACCGCCTAGTCTCTGGAACACTGGAGGCGAAGCCCGAACCGTCGGTGTAGCTCTCGGGGCCCCAAGGCCCATCGGTGTCGCCCCACAGGAGAACATCAGAACTGATAGTGTCGAGCCCAGGGATACCCGTGGGAAGAGCAGGGGCCCCGAAGACCAGGTAGTTGGACTCCCCAAGCCAGACACCCCTCATACCACTCGCCCCCCTTCAAGAGCATGCCTCTGGTAGCCTCCAAGTCCTCTGAGATGTCCAAGAAGTCCCGGCGCTGCGCGAGCAGCACGGGGCAATCGTAGAGCACGTGGCCACAAATACCCTGAGACTGGGCCCCACAAGCTGCACACGGCCTGATTGGGATCTTTTGACGGGCATCTTGGAGCTGAGGTATGGGGAGGTTCCCTGACCAGTGCGCTTGGAGGGCCCCAAGTCTACGAACGCACTTGATACTCGTCACCGAGTTGCGTAAGCCTCGATGCCATATCTGATCGTCAGGCTCAGCAGTATAAAAATGCCTTGGCAGCCGCTCGTCCTGCCAACGCTGGATCCCCTGGGTGAGGAAAACCTTCCAGGCCGGCAGGGCACATCACACGCAAGTCGAAAACATTGCCTAGATCATCAGCCACCATATGACTAGATACTAAGTTCCAACCAATACGTCGTAACGTCAACCAGCAGGCCCCGATCGGGCCCCGAGTGTTCGCCCAGGACAGAGTGCCGATCTTATCTCGGAGAGCCTCCCAAGCCCGATGTAGACGACTGTCGGGTATTCTACCGTCCCAGACCCACTCCGCAAATTTAATAACTATGGCTATTGTGGCGTGGTAGATAGGATCGTAGAATTTACTCTCGTGGCTGATCAAGTAGGCGTTCACACCAGTGTTAAATCTGCCTGGCGCGCCGTTCAAGACGGCAGCGAAAAGACGCAGCTCTCGAAGTGCAACATCACTTACACCAGCAACTGCAGCACCATGCGCCACTGATGGAAGGGCGCCTGTGCGCCACAAAGCCGTCGAGACCTTGCCGACCGCAGACTTCAGCATGGAAAACCTCGCCTTCCTCTCTCTAAGCTGTTTGAGACGCTTCTTTTCCATACCCCGAATAACCTTGGGCCCCGTGAGCTCGTGACCTAGGTTCCTCATGTGGCCCTTGTACGGGATCTTCATGGACCCCATGTGGTGCTGCACCCCCTTCCAGAACTTCCGAGAACCAGCAACAGCCCCAGACTTCGACGCCTTCAAGATCATGCCGAGGCCCTTGGAGTCCTGGATGAAACCTTTCGCTGCAAGAGCAAGGTACTTGGCCTCCTTGGGGTCCTGGGAGGTATGCTGGAGCCCTATATCGTCCATGAGCGTCCTCGGGGTCACCGTGGGGGAGACCTTCGAGACCCTCTTCACCGACCTATAGGTGAGCAGGTACAGGACATATGTGGCGTGGGTACACCCTGCCAGGATCCCCTGGAAGGACCGAAACGCTCGAGAAACACTCCCAAAGGCCTTTATTCGACGGGGCTGTTGAAAGCTCTGAATGAGGAGCCAAAGAAGACGCAGTGGAAACCCAAGAGCCTGGCCTTCTCGGAGCAGCGCATGTGGGTCAACCATATCATAACATTTGCTCATCTCTAATAAGATTGTACAAGTATGTTCCCCCAACAACTGCGCCACCTCCTGCTGAATATTATGATCAAAAGCTGAATCTGTGGACGTGTGGCCCGCTCTCGTGCCCCACATCTGGTCGCACTGGTAGCCGGCCTGCCACGCTGCCGAGACTGATCTCCTGAGCTTGCCCCAAAGGCGAACCAGCGCATGAGATAACACAATCAAGCGTGTATCCCCGTCTGGTTTGGGTAAGCGAACCATCTCACTATAAACTCGCTCAGGAGGCCAGGACAGCCACTGCTCTAAAAGCATAAACATCTTGGCGATGCGCTCGAGCGCCTGGTCCGACAGAGAGTCCAGGCATCTAGGTGAAATACGGCTCGGCCCTGCTGCCGTACGCGTCGAAAACTTGCGAATGGCAGCCCGCACTTGGTGGTGGTCAGGCTCGGGCAGAGCAGGCCAGCTATCATGGCCTGGCGGCAGCTCTGGGGGCGACAAGTCATGGTGTCGCCAGACGCCCTCCCACACGTCTAGAGTGTGGTTTGCCAGCAGGTACGGCTGGGCGTTCACGTCAAAGTTGAGCTGCTCCTGCTTGCCGCGAACCTTGGAGGCAGCGTGGGCCTGACTGGCCCCTCCCAGGAACGCCTGCTTGGCCCAGCCACGCCAAGCCTGCTCCGAGACCGACCTCGCGGCCTTCAACACCGCGTCGGCCTTCAGAATGATGTTGTCCAGACCTGAGTCGAAGCCGGCGTCCCCGATCATGCCCAAGCCTCGCCGCAGAAAGTCGACGGTGTCCTGGTCCAAGTGGTGGCAGGTCTTCTTGTCGCCAACGATCCTACGGCAGTACTGGTCCACCTCGTAGAAAGCCTGCAGCACCTTGGTGTACTGCAGGGGCGTAAGCTGGCAGACCACCGAAGCCAACTGTAACCGTTGACAGAACCTGCCCAGTCGATCACGCTCCGACCTGAGATGCTGACACCATCTTTTGACCGTCGCCCACGCATAGACCTTTGGTTCGCGATAAGTACGACGGCGCGGAGGTTCCCAAGCCAGCAGCTTCCACTTGAAACGTGGAGGGCCCGAACGCCCGACGAAAGGAATCGCATCTTTGTTAACTTTGTCATAGCGCCCAGCCAACTCAAAATCGACTCCGTCAAGCACAGTGTCCCAAACTCGGGCAAGATCTGAAACCTCCTTCACTTCCCAGAAGATATGATCAACAGCATCCCACGGGTACGGGAACCTCGCGCACCCACATGGAGGAATAACTGGGAATGCCCTCGGCTCGTCTGGCACAAGACACCACGCTGGCCTATCGCTGCCCAGGAGATCGATGCTTACTGGGTAGTGCGGAGGGGGTATGGTGCCGTACGTGTCCACCACCGCTGCTGTACCAAGCCGTGACGACAAATTTGCACACGCAATGAAATAGTCAATCGTCGAGTTGCCGTCCTCCTTGCAGCACGTGGCCGACGGTGGAGTGTAAGACAGCCCAGCCAGAGACTCAATCCACCTCCTCGCATTCAGAGCTGCTATATGTGGGGGAGAAGGAGGAGGAGGAGGAGGAGGAGGAGGAGGAGGTGAAGGAGGAGGAGGAGGAGGAGGTGAAGGAGGAGGAGGAGGAGGAGGAGGGAGGAGGAGGAGGAGGAGGAGGAGGTGAAGGAGGAGGGAGGAGGGAGAGGAGGAGGAGGTGGAGGAGGAGGAGGGGAGGAGGGAGGAGGAGAGGAGGTGGAAGAGGGAGGAGGAGGGAGGAGGAGGAGGAAGGAAGGAGGGAGGAGGAGGAGAGGAGGGAGAGGAGGGGAGAAGGAGGAGGTGAGGGAGGGAGGAGGGGAGGAGAGGAGGAGAGGAAGGAGGAGGGGAGGAGGAGTGGAGAGGAAGGGGGGGAGGAGGAGGGGGGAGGAGGAGGAGGAAAAGGGGGAGGAAGGAGGGAGAAAGGAGGAGGAGGAGGAGGGGAGGAGGGCGAGGAGGAGGAGGAGGAGGAGGAGGAGGATAAGGGAGGAGGGAGGGAAGCAAGGAGGACAAGGATTAGAGGAGCTCACGGGGTGGGGGGGCGCCTCGGTGACCTGCACGCTGGGCGCCGAGAGGCCCCGCAGCTCCAGCTGCCGCGAGGCCACGGCGTGCGCGCCCTCAGAACGCACGCGCGCGAGCGGGCGGACGTCGTCGTCGTCGTCGTCGGCGCCGTCGTCCTCCTCGATCCTCCTCCTCCGCGTTTTCCTCCTCTTCTTCCTCCTCCTCCTCCTCATCATCATCACCATCATCAGCAGCATCATCATCATCATTATCAGCATCATCATCATCATCATCATCATCATCCGCAGCATCATCATCATAAGCATCATCAGCATCAGCATCATCAGCATCAGCATTATCAGCATCACCGCAACCACCATCATCAGCAGCAGCACCATCATCATCATCATCATCGTCATCATCATCATCATCATCATCATCATCATCATCATCATCATCATCATCATCATCATCATCATCATCATCATCATCCTCATCCTCATCATCATCATCATCATCAGCATCATCTTCATCATCATCATGATCCTACTGCTCCTCCTCCTCCTCCTCCTCTTTGTCCCCCTCCTCCGCCGCCTCATCCTCCTTCAACTCCTCCTCCTCGTTCTCACCGTCATCATCAGCATCATCATCAGCATCATAATCATCAGCATCATCATCATCAACAGCATCATCATGATCATCATCAGCATCATCATAAGCATCATCAGCAGCAGCAGCATCAGAATCTCCATCAGCATAATCATCATAATCATCAGCATCATCATCAGCATCACCATCAGCATCATCATCATCCACCATCAACACCACCATCACCATCACCAGCATCAGCATCAGCATCATCAACATCAGCATCACAAGCATCAGCATCATCAGCATCATCATTACCAGCATCAGCATCACCAGCACCACGACCACCACCACCACCACCAGCAGCATCATCGTCACCACAACCATCATTAGCGTCATCACCATCATGATCAGCATCATCATCAGCAGCATCAGCATCATCAGCAGTCGCCCCATCATCATCAGCATCATCAGCATCATCATCATCAGCATCATCATCATCATCATCATCATCAGCAGCATCCTCATCGTCATCATCATCAGCATCAGCATCAGCATCAGCATCATCATCAGCATCATCATTATCATCATCGTCATCAGCATCATCACCAGCATCATCACCATCACCATCACCATCATCAGCACCATCATCAGCACCAGCATCTATCATCAGTAGCATGACCATCACCACCACCACAACCACCACCACCACCACCATCATCATCATCATCATCATCATCATCATCATCATCATCATCATCATCATCATCATCATCATCATCATTGTCATACCCCTCACACGCACCCTTGCCCTCACCATCATCACCATCAGCATCACCACCATCAGATTCATCATCAGCAATGTCATCATCAGCATCTCCATCATCATCTATCCCCGTCCTCCTCCTCCTCCTCCTCCTCCTCCTCGATCCTCCTCCTCGATCGTCCTCCCCGATGGTCCTCGATCTTCCTTCTCGTCCTCGATCCTCCTCCTCCTCCTCCGAGTTGGAGACCGCCGATCGGCCCGCCGATTGCTTTTTCCACCCAGCGGGACAGCTCCACCGCCTCCGCGTCGTCCTCGTCGTCCTCGTCGTCCTCGTCGTCCTCGTCCTCGTCGTCCGTCTCGGCCTCAGCGTCCTCATCCTTCTCCCTCCACCTCCTCCACGTCCTCATCCTGCTCCTCCTCCTCCTGCTCCTCCTCCTCCTCCTCCTCCTCTTCTTCCTCCTCCTCCTCCTCCTCCACGTCGTCCTCCGCGTCGTCGCCCTCCTCCTCCTCGTTTTCCGCGTCGTCCTCGTCGTCGACCTACACTTCATCCTCATCGTCCTCCTCTTCCCCGTCCTCCTCGTCCTCCTCATCGTCCTCCTCGTCATCCTTCTCGTCGTCCTCCTCGCCCGTCGTCGTCCTCACCGTCCTCCTCGTGCCTTCTGCCCCCGTCGTCCTCTCCCTCGTCCTGATATTGGTCCTCATCACCGACGTCCGAGAAGGGGCGCGGGACAGCAAAGCGGGGGCGCAGGGAACCACCAGCCGCACGCAGCTTGTTCTCTTTGGGCGCCCCCCCCCCCCCCCCCCGCGCCAGGAGCGGCCAGGTCCCGAGGGGAGGGCCCCCCGGCGGGGCCGAGACCGGCTGCATTCAGCAGATGTGCTTCCCCCCCCCCGCCCCCTCTAACTCGGCGACGCGCCCAGGCAGGAAGGCAAAAGGTGCGCGCCTGCTCAGAAGGCTCAGGAGGCCTCTGGCCTTCCGAAAAGTTGTCTGAGCCTTCTCTGAAGACAGGGACGGGTTCTCAGGAGGAGGGAGGGCTTCTGATAAACCCCACCATTGAAGAGCAACAGAAGTACCCCTAATCCTGTGGGATCTGGCCTGAGTTAGGAAGGCAAAACACATGAGGGATAGGGGTCCAGTTTTTGCAGATGTCTCAGACGAGTCCACTCACATAGTTAGGGATAGCCCCGAAAACCGACGACATCAGTTTGGACACGAGTTCATCGTGTTCATTTGGTTTGCGGTTGTATCATGATCAATGAACCACGTTATGAAAAATCCTGCCCCTTCTCACTTCCCACCTCGGACCGCCGCCGATCAATTTCAACCGCCGCTCCCCTTGTCGCCCGCGCCCGAACGTCGGCGGCGGGGGCCTCCGGGCCGCCCCGTCGGCGGCTCTCCACCGGCGGCGCGCCCAGCGGGAGCGGGACCTTCCTGGAAGCGCTTGTAGGGGGCCACCTGCGAGCCCTACCCCTACCCCCCACGATTTCTGAGGGGGAGGGTGAGGCTCACTTCGCTCGGGAGCTCCTGAACGAAGTGAACCCCACCCTCCCCCTCAGAAATCGTGGGGGGTAGGGGTAGGGCTCGCAGGTGGCCCCCTAGCTTGTATACTTTTTGGAGTTCTGGGGGGGCCCCCCCGGAGGCCTGCGACGGTCCTGGGGGGGGCCCCGGAGGCCGCCGACGGCGCCCCTAGCCTGGCCGATCGGCGGCGACCCGCGGGAACACAGGCGCGGAAGGATGCTCGAGTTCGCGCTCGGGGCTTCCGTTTCTGTGCCAGCAGGGAGCCCACAGCGCCCGACTGCGCCCGTCTGCTCGGCATCCTGCTTCCGGATCGAGCCTGACGCCGCAAGCGTCCTGAGCTTCACCCGGCTCGGGGATGGACAGACCCCCCTTTAGTAAAACGTGGTTCAGTGAAAACGACCCGAGGCCCAAACCTGGCGTGCGCAAGCCTGGAAAATAACGGCCACGGCGCCATCTCGAGAACCGAAAACGGACAATTCACTAAGCGACGTGTCACTGTTGGGGGTTCTGTCCACCCCCGACATCCCCGAGGGGGCCCCGGGGCAGTGAAGGACGTCGCGGGGCGCCCCCCCATGGCGCAGCCCGTCCGGCGCGATGCTAAGGTGCGCCAGCTCGAGCCTCCGCCGCTGCACCCGGCCAGCTCGGCCGAGAGGCCGCCGCGCGGGCAGCTCCGGGCGCGGGCCGGGGGAAGGCGGCCCCGCGCCTCCAGGGCCCGGGGGCAGGGAGACACCTGCGGGATCGAATGCCGGAGGACGGCGCCGCTCCAGCTGTTGGTCGCGCACAGGCTGCCCAGCCAAGTCTGCCCTCCAACAGCAGGCCCCAGACGCTGGCGGCCTCGCCTGCCGCCCAACGGGGGGCGGCCAGCTGCAGCGAGGCCAGCGGATCGCACTCGCCCGGCCAGAGGTGAGCCACGAACGAGACCGAAGGGGCAACGGCATGCCCCGCTGGCCGCCAGGCCCCAGCGCGGCAGGGCGCCCGCGCTCAAGGTCAGCAGGGCCCAGCGCAGCGGCATGCGTGGTTTTGAAGGGGCCCTGGGACACACAAATAAATACACACAAATAAAAAGACTCCCCATATTTTCCTATATTTTCTGGGTTTCTATTTTCCCCCCCCACTTCCCATATTTTCACATATTTTCTGAAGAATCGAGGATTAATTGTGTCTGTGTTTTTTCCTCTCCTGAGGTTTGCGCGGCACAACCTTGCCCCAGCCAGCGGGCCCCCCCGAGGCGCGCGGGGGCGCGCCCGCGCCCTGGCGTTCGAGGCCCGGGTGGAAGAACTTCACCGCCGCGACCAGTCTGATCGCATCGACGCCCGCGAGGCCCCCGAAGAACAGTTGCCCAGGAACACCGCGAGGCAGAGGCCCAGCTGCTCGCAGTCATCCCACGCCATGCGCGCCGCCGTGGCCCATTGCAGGAAGGCTGAGGCCCGGCGGCACTGGTCCTTGCATGTAGCAAGGGCCACCGACCGCCTGTCCAGGCTGGTCAGCTTGCTCAGGACTATCCGGATGAGAAGGGGCAGCAGCAGCGGCAGGCAACGTCGGCGCGCTGCCGCCTGGGCCCCACTGCGAACGCTCCATTGACCTGCGGGAGGCTCGGCACCTGGTGTCCGCGTCGCGCACGGCTCCACAGCCGCTCAAGGTCGGGAGCGTCGGGGTGGCCGGCAGAGCGTCGGCGGCAGCACGAGCAGCCGCGGCGCTGGCAGCATCCTCCAGGCCGCCCGACCTGCCCGCGCCCTCGATGAAGGCGCGGTCTCGGCAGGAATGATCTGAAGAATCACGCTCCGAGGGCGCCCATTGAACCAGGAGAGCCCAGAATCGAATCGACGAGTCGGATCGGCGATCGACATGAATCGGATTCGCGGAAATCGGCAACCGAGTCGGGAAAAGTCGAATCGGCAGATATCGGGAGGATAGCAGACCCCCCTTGAGGAATCGGACTCCAAATCGGAATCCGAAGTCGCATCGAATCGGAATCGGAAGCCACCGACATCGAACCGGATCGAATCGGAGGAATCGAAATGAGCCCCGATTGAACTGGCAACCCGATTCCTGTGGGCCAGGGGCAGGGCGCTCGAAAGGAACCCCGGATCCGGAAGTCCCCCGCCGCCCTCTGCCGCCGGCGAGAGCCCGCCGAGGCTGTCGACGGGCATGGGCAGCCGCGGTCCGAAAGCAGAGCGGCTCCGAAGCAGATGCCGAAGAGCCGAAGACATGGCTGAATCCTCGAGCCGAAGAATGCTTGCATCCGCCACTCACTTGAGACTCTTAACCACCTGGCAGCGGTCGGGCTGCATGACACTGGCGTCCATCGGGGCGAACGGGCCCGCATCCGCGCGCGCCCGCAGCAGCCCGGCGGCGAAGCCCAGAGCGTCGCCCTGGGCGGCGGAGCCGGACGCGACGCCCGCGGCGCCGACAGCAACCCCGCTCGCGCCCGCGCCCGCGCCGCCCTCCGCCAGGAAGGCGCGGCCGCGCGCGGCGGCCGCCGCGACCGCGCGGCAGCGCCAGCGCTCCGCCGCTCGCCCAGAGGCGGCGGCCTCCGAGGGCTGGCAGGCGCCGGAGGCGCACGCCGCGGGCCAAGCGCGAGGCGCCGCTGGCCGCGACAAAGGCGCGCCACGAAGCGTTGGCGTCGACGACCCGCAGCGAGGGCAGCTCCGCGGCCGTGTCCGGCGCCTGGCACGCGGGCGGCCACGGGTCCACGACGCGCCCACGCGCAGCACCGGGAGGCCGCGCACGCGCAAAAAAAAAGCGTCGAGAGCGCGCCGCGCCGGATCCGCATCCCCCAGGTCGGATGGCCGACATTGATCTCCATGGCGTCGCACCTGCCCCGCCCTCGAGACAGCAGCTCAGTCACGGCGGCCTTGAGACGCAGATCCGCTCCCGCGCGCCCCGCGCCGCGCGCTCGCTGCCGTCGAGCTCGAGCCCCACGAACGGCACCTGGGAGGCGACGCCCGACTCTGCGTGAATCGCGAAGCCCGCGCCCGCAAATGCGCTCGCCGCTCGCTGCCCAACTGAAGCCACGGCCTGGCGGGGGCCACCCAGGGCCAAGGAGTGGTCGACGCAGGCGACATCCCCAGAGGACCCGTGGAGCCAGCGGCGCTGCGGCGTATCGATCGCAGAGCAGGCTGTCGGCGGCCAGGCCCCCGCGGCGAACGCCTTCCTCAACCGCCAGCCCGCAGAAGTGAGGCGCCCAGCTCCAGGCCACGGGCAGCACGGCCAGGCGCGGGGCCAGGAGGCCCCAAGGACGGTAGGGCGGCCCGCCAGGGCGGAGCCCATCGCGTCAGCCCGCGCCGACAAGGCATCGCCGAGGTGATCTGGGATAGCGATGGCGTAGAAGGCATTCTGGACGTCGTCCACGAAGAAGAAGTACGCGTCGCACTCCGCGGGCTCCAGCTGGCTGAACGCGGCCGCGGTCGGCAGCTGGGCGCGCGGCGGCGATCAGTAAGGCGCCCAGGGCGGGCGGGCGACTGGTGGCGAGGGCGAAGCGCGCCATGCCACGGAAACGCGGCTGCTTGGTGAAACCAGAGTACGTACAGACAGTGCGGAAGGCGGGGTCGGAGTTGGGCCCCACCAGGCACAACTCCTGTCAGCGCCATCGATACTGCAACGCAAGCTGGCCAAGATATCCCTCGACCATGCGTGGTGCACCAGGGCGAGCGCATTGGACAGCTGGGCTGGCGAGGCACCTGTCTCGGGCCAGGACACGAGGTCCTCGTTGCAGGGCGCGACCAGGGAGGGGTCGCTGGAGGTGATGGCGCCACCACATAGCTCTCGCGGACGCCCCCGCGGCCTCTGGCGCTCTACTGCCAGGGGCCCAGTGCCGCGCAGCTGTCCAAGACGTGCTCCTTCGCAAGCACCTGGGCGGACGTGCCGAGTCGGGCCAGCCCACCACGAGAACGACCAGCAAGGAAGTGGAGGGAATGGATCGCATCACTCGCGACCTCGACCCTACGCTGGAGCCGCCGACGACGTCGCGGAACAGCACGAGAGCGGCGTGGAAGCCGAGGGGGCGCCTCGAGCGGGGAGGGCGGGGACATGCCTGGCTGACAACTGGCAGCGACCAGGAGCGAAGAGCCCGCGCTGCGAGCTCCCACGCGCGGGCAGGGCGCAGGCAGCAGTCCTGCTCCGACGAGCGGCCGTGGCGCTCCGCCCCCGCCGCCGCCGCCGCCGCCGCCCCTCCCGTTTGGAGGCCGCGGCCCGGGCGAGAGCCCGCTCCTGCCGCGAAGTGTGGCGCCCTCCTTCGCCGCGGCGCCCTCTGCGGCGACCTGCTCGGCGACCCGTGGCTCCACGGCTGCTCTGCAGCGCGGTGAAGCAGCAGCTCTCGTCGTGCTCCCGGTGCCCCGTGCCAGCCGACCCGAGGAGTCGGTCCTTGGGCTTCTCCTCGCACAGCTGGAGCTGTCGGCATACGAGCTCCGTCGACGCGATGCTGCGGGCGCCCGGCTGGCCATAGCAAAACGCCGTCGGAAACATGTTTGAAAGATCCGCGTGGGGCAGCATGACAGGGCCGCCCAAGTCGAGACGGCAGGTCGAGCGAAAGGCGATACGATGGCCCACCGCCGAGCCACCCGTTCCCCAAAATGTAGTACGCGCACCATAAGGCGATACGATGGCCCACCGCCGAGCCACCCGTTCCCCAAAATGTAGTACGCGCACCATAGAATCGTGCACGTCCCAAGGGCGATCCAGTCAGGCCAGCACTGCTACCGCATTACCGTACTCCCGTCGCAGAACTCCTCGTGCCGCTGGCCCTCCACACCGTAAGACACGGCAAAAGCGTCCCGAAGTCGTCAGCCCACGGCGGCCAGCACAGCCCCTGCGCCGCCCGCGAGCGCCGCGCGGGGCCCACCATGCCCAGCGGCGGCGCCGGCAGAGGCCGCGGTGGCTCCGGGCGCGGGGGCCCCAGCCGGGACGGCAGGAGCAGCCCCAGCCACCGCAGCGGCTGGCCGCGGGCCCGCGGGGCCCCTCGGCGCGGTCAGCGCGGCGGCGGCTGGGGGCCCCCCGGCGGGGACGAAGGCTCCAGCGAGCCCTCTGCAGCAGCGCCAGCCGCGCGTCGCGCGCGGCGACAAGCCGCATGGCCGCGGGCAAGCAGCGCGAGGAACTCGGAGAGGGCGAGCGGGCGGAGGAAGTCGTAGGCGGGGATGCCGCCTGCAGCGGGCGGCGGTGGTCCTCCAGCGGCCCGACGACGCAGGCACGAATATGGGCGCGGTGAAGGCCAGCTCCTCGAGGTGCAGATGACTGCCGGGTGTGATGACAACGACGTCCAGGGGCCGAACGGCTGACACACACACACACACACACACACACACACACACACGCCACAGCGCGAGCATGCCACAACGGCGGCTGGACAGCATACTCGATCATAGACGCCTGATCCGCGACGCTGCAAGTGAGCGCGGCTGCCAGGGGCAGTGGCAAGGGGGCCCCGCAGGTGCCCACCACCACCACCACCAGCATCATCATCACCACCACCACCACCACGCGCCTCGCACATCCGTCTTCAAATATTTTAGCTGTTTCAAACATGCAGGGAGGGCCGTTTTCAAAATGGGATTATCGCCCGAGCACCGCGTACACTGGTCTTAAATGTTCGTAGCAGTTTCAAAGATGAAGGGGTGAAGTCCCAGGAATGGATTTCTAGCACGATTTAGTACTGTCAGGACGCCACGGTGATGTGTACTAGCGGTGCTGAATTTCCAGAACTGGCGTTCTGGCACGATTCAGGGCTGCCAGACGCAACACTCACGTTGATTCGCGGCGTTGAAGCATCAGGACTTGCATTTTCGCGCGATGTGGGATTCTCAAAAAAAATGGAATTGCGGAGTGTCTTAATCCGATCACGATTACAATGTAACACTGTTGTGGTTTTGTCGTTAGTCCTGGTCCTGGCGAGGCATCTCCCTCTTGGGAATCTGGAGGAGCGGCATCCTGTCTCTGTGAATTATTCGGAGAGCTGTCTTTCAACGAGCCACTTCCCGCAAGATAAACCTTTGTAGGGACTGATGAAGAGGGAACGTGTATGAGGGTGTATTATAACATGATTGGTGCGGCTTGGGTTTGCACTGGACCTCCGCCTACTCCTCTTCCTCATCCTGCTCATCCTTCTCCTCCTTCCCCTAGCCCTCCCCTCCTCATCCTCCTCACGATCCATCCAAAGACGGCCCAGGACCTCTTTCTAGGGTGTCGTTTTGACCAGACTTTCGAAGAGGATCCAGCCGTAGCGACAAAGAGCACCCCAGAGGCCCCAAAACACACACACACACACACCCCGCGAGCGAGCCCCCCGCCTCCGCCCGGCCCGCCCGCCCGCTCCCGCCCTGCCGCCCGCCGCCCGCACGCACGCCCCCCCGGGGGGGGCCCCCCCCCCCCCCCCCCAAAACGCAGACGCACACCCCCCACCCCCCACCATCACACACCACCACACACCCCCCCCACACAACACACGCAAGCACACCCGGCAGCCCGCCCGCCCGCACGCAGCACGCCGCCCCCCTCACTACGCCACGCCCCGCACGCCCGCCCGCCCTCACGACCCACCACACCCACACCCCACACACAACACAGACACACCCACATCACCATCACACACCCACCACACACACGCAGAGACGCGCCCGCTACGCCAAGCACTCATCGCACCTGCACGCACGCCCACGCACGCAACGCACGCACGCACACACACACACACCCACACACACACAACACACACCACACACACACACAACACACCACACACACGCACACCCAACAGACGAACGAACACGACCCACGAGTCGATCCCGATCCTCCCTCCCCCTCTCCTCTCTCCTTCCTCCTCCTCTCCTCCTCCTCCTCCCCCCTCCCTCCTCCTCCCCTCCTCCTCCCCTCCTCCTCCGTCCTCCTCCTCCTCCTCCTTCTCCTCCTGCTCCGTCCTACTCCCTATCCTCCTCTTCCTCCTCCTCCTCCTCCTCGGCCCTCCCCTGCTGACACCCCACGCCGCCCCAGCAAACGGCGGCCCCGACCGCGGGCGCCCCCGCACCCGCCCCCGCGCCGGCCAGGAGGCGCCTCCCGCTCGGGGCCCGAGCACAGCACCAGGGAGTCCTCCCGCTGGGGGGAGGGGGGGGGGAAGGGGCGGTGGGCCCCCTCGCCCTCGACAGAAGAAGACAAAACGCCATAATACAAAAAAATATTACTATAATACTACTACTAAAAATAATAATAATAATAATAATAATAATAATAATGGTAGTAGTAGCAATAATAATAACAATAACAATAATAATAATAATAATAATGATAATAATAATAATCGTAATAATAATAATAATCGTAATAATAATAATGATAATTATGATGATGATGATGATGATGATGATGATGATTTTCCTCGACGTTAGGACCAACATCTGATATAAAGACATTGCGTACAATGAAATCAGACTTCAAAGATCCGTCGCAGAGAGTCTCGCGTTGCCCCGCATAGGGCCGTGCTGCCAGGGTGCTGCGCAGAGGGGCCTCCTGCGCAGCGCATGCCGAGCAACGTGCAGGTGCTAGCTGAAAAGATGTTCCGCCGCTTCGTCTTCGGCGTTTGTATCGAACTCAAACTCAGGTGGGGCCTCCGCCTCGATTAGTTCCTGTGATGGCACGGCAGGAGGATGGGTTGGAGGCACGACGGAGGAGGGAGGGTACATGACCGTGACCGTGCCGTTGCTGGCAGGGAGGCCTTCGCCTCGAACAAAAATGACACGGCGCTGAATCGCCTCCTCTCCCCTGCTGCCTGCATCGTGCCATGCAGGTTCATTCTGGCAAAAAGATGGGCTCACTGCTCGAGGGTCTCCAGCCAGTGGCCGACCTCTTCCTCGAGCCAGCCCGCTGGGGCCACGCCTCTGCGATGGACCGCTTGGCCCTCGGCCTCGAGGGCACGGCTGATCAAGACTCGGCCCTCCCACGCGGGCGCGCCGATCACCAGTTTCGTCTTGGCGTCGTCGTAGCACTTCTCCAGGCGCACGAAGGAGATGACGTCGAGGAGATCCTCCTTGCTGATCTCGGCCTCCGCCTCGATGTCCTCGGGCTCCGCTCGGAGCAGGTAGTTGCGGATGGCCCCCTTCATGGATCCGCCCACGTCGCACTTGTGCAGCCCTTCCAAGGCCGCGAGCGCGAGGGACGGGGCTGGGGACCCTATCTCCTGCAGGCGTTCCTTCTCCTCTGGGGTGCCGCTCTTCCTGAGCTCCTGCGTGATGGCTATGATCACTGGGTGCTCGTTGCTCATCGTGTAGGTGTTGCTGCTGCAATTCAGCATGGTCTTTATAACGTCGGTCTGGAGCTCCAGCTTCAGTTCGGTCTTTGTGTCCTTCTGCCGATGTCTCCCTCGTTCCCACCTCGATGGTGTGCTGGGCGTGGCTGCTGGCATGGCTGCCCCCTCGCTTCCTCGGGTGGCGATCGCGAACGATCGCGATCGCCTCTTGCGCCGGGCGGTCTTTGGCGGGCCTGGCGACGTGAAAGCCTCTGTCGCTTTGGCCTGGCGCGTCGCTGGAGGCGGTATGCCGGAGCCTCGAGCCCCGGGGGGCGTCCAGCTGGAGTCGCCACGACGCTCTCATGCTTGTGCGTTCTCCCCCTGGTCCAGGATGGCAAGCGCAGGAAGGTGGGGTAGAAGGAAACAGTTGCCACTCGAAGTGACCGCGCAGGTGTTCGCATTTATGCTGCTGCTGGGCGCTGCGCCGCTCGTAGCCGTCGAAGTGGTCGGTGTCTAGGTCTGCTGCGAGGGTCGCTGCCCACGATGCGTTCCACCGGCTGACGAATGGCAGCGCGTACCGCAGGGGTGCCCTCGATGGCAGGCGATGGGCGGCAGCTGGATGGCGCGGGGCGCGGCGGGGGAGCACTCGGAGTGGCCGAGCGCGCGGTAAGCCTTCTGACGACAGGCTTGAGCATGGAACCCGATGGCGACGGTGGGACATGTCCCAGGACGTGAGCTCGAAGTTTTTGCTGATCAGGATATTCATGTTGGCGTGCATGGTCCAAAGCGTAGCCCCGTAGAGGGCATGTAGTACATGGGCTGGGATCCAGGGGTATACATGATGAGTAAGTTCTGGAATGCATCTGCCTGCTTGCCATGCTCGTCGTAAATGCCGAACTGCATGATCTTGGTTTGGAAACGTAGTTTGGCACACAATACATTTGTTGTCGATCTGTAGGGTAGTCAATACCGCTGGCATACCGTGTCCTAGGCTCTTAGCTTTAGTTTGATGTGTGGCGAGCTGTTTGAGCGTCCCGAACCGTTTCTGGCATGACTCGATGTTGCACACGAAGGGGCGGTTCGTCTCGTCGTCTGTGTCCGTCTCGTCGCATGTTGCCGCCGAGGGGAGAGAGGAGGTGATCATCGCTTTGGCTATCGGGCGGGCGGCGAGCGGCCCCGGGGGGACGAATCGTCAATGCCGGAACGCCTGGCCCAGACGCCCGAACGTCGCAATTTAGGAAGGCCTCTCGAACCCACTCGTCACCCCACAAGTTTTTAACAACTCGAGGTTGCCACGCTTCATGAAAGCTCTCGCTGATCGCGTGGGGCGACAGGCACAGCAAATCGTCTGCGAGCTGTGTGGCCCACGGGTGCACGTTCGGGTCTGCGGGGATCTCGCCCTGCGAATTGAGGGTGCCAGCGCTGACGGGGCGGTTGCTTATGGCCGCCTGCTGCTCGAACTTGCATCTTCCAAAAAAAGAAGCGAGAAAGTGGCCATGATGTGTGTGTGCGGTCGAATTATGCTCTGCCACCAACTGAGCCTGCGCACGAGTAGCTCAATGGCAGTCGGTGCAACTTGCCATTCAAGAAACACTGGGCGGGTAGACAAGGGTCGATGATTGTTGTGCTCATCCTCCTGATGTGCCGCTCCTCTCATCATTGATCGTAGTTTGCGGGCCAGCGAACTGTCGAGTCTGTGGAGCTCTCTAGGGGACAACACATAGCTTTCGAGGCCAGACCAAACCCTCCCCGCGACGTTGGACACGAACGCGAGCCGTTTAGCTTTCCAGGGACCTCCAGAGAACCAATAGTCGCCCAGACGGCACCACCCGAACTTACCTGATTGTATGCGGGCCTCGACTTCACGACGATTACTGATGGCAACATGTACATATCCTCCGAGATGAATCAAGTCCTGGACTGCGTTCCCAGGAATATTCCGTTCGGCCTCCTTCGTAGCCCCGTGAGTGCCCAGTGAGACCAGGGTGTCCTGCTTACTGATGTTCTGTGCGTAGCCGCCAGCCTCGAGGGCCTGGGAGAGCGCGTCGTTGTCGATCTTATCAATCTGCAGCGCCTGGAGGGCCGTGCCGTCTGGCGCCAAGAGGATCTTAACTAGATCGTCAATGAAAGCTCCAAGGTGCGCATCAAACTCTTCGCCAGTGAAAGGGCAGTGTACCTGGAACGGGTTCCCCTGGACCTGTGCCATCTCCTGGGACCACTGCTTAACTAATGGATAAAATGATTCCATGAAAAATTCAGGCTCGTTTGAATCGCCCATCCCCCCTCCCGTCCCTGGTCGAAGAGCTATGCTGGCATCAGACGCCTGCAGAAATACTACAGCCTCGTGTCGGTGCTGCTCAAGGAGGGGATGAAAATGCTCATCTTCGCATCGAAGCGTGTGGCCGGCAACCAGTTGTTCGTGGGGGCCTGTCGCGAATGCGTTCCGCATGTCGTACGATTTAGCGAGAAAAGACATTCTGGCGGATCTCATCTTCCGTATCAACAGCTTAGCGATGAGCATGAGTGATTCGCGACGGCGGGAATGAATGCCTCCATAGGCCCACGGCGGTGGATCGAATTACGTTCCATACTGAATGAATCCTATTCTAAGATACAATCGCCAAAATTGGTCGAAACAGTGAAGTAAACGTACGCATGCATGAATGTCCTGAATCACGTTGCCAGTTGGGCTTTTTCCTTCTTTTCCGATGGCGACCGCCTGGCTGGTGAACGCCTGGGCGGGCAGAGATCCACATCGGTGAGCATGAGCGAGCAATGTGACGAAGGTCTGGATGATGGTGGAGCTGACGTCGTAGTCGATCACGAGCTTCCGTCGACTGGGTTGGTAGACCCGCTCGGCGAGCGGGTCAGCGCATTGATAGTCGGCGGTGTCATGTCCCATCCCTGCCCGTTGAACACCAGGGCGCGTCAGATACTGCGGGGCGAGGAGCATGATGGTGAGTTCGATGGGCCATGCCCAAAGTGGATTGTAGCGCCTCCGCTTCTCCCTCCACAGTCGTTTCTGCAAATGATCGAGCTCCTCCGCTGCCGGCTCAATATCATGGAGCTCAGGGGCGCCGACGTGCTCCCCCACTGGTTGATTGTCGTTCGGTTGGGCAAGTAGTCGTGGAATAGCTGTCGGGTCATCGATATACATACTGACGTAGGCGGGCGTAGCAGAGAGCCCCCCCTGGACGGCTGGCTGGGTAAGGGCGTCGGCGTATTCGGCTGCTGCGGGACGTGTGGATGGCAGTGCTAGGTATGATCGTCGTCGTGGCCCCGTCCGTCGCCCCGCTCGGATGCACGTGAGATGTTCAACTCGGGAGAGGTCGCGAGTGGCCCACGCGTCGCGGATGTCCTGGTCGAGGCTGACTTTCCACCAGTGATCCATCCATCGCTGGTGTGCTCGTAGGCGTCGTTGGATCTCGCGTGGGGTTGCGCGATTGAAGGGTAGTCGTCGGGCTCGACAGTCAGCGCGTTCTTTAAGCAGACGGGATCTTTCAAGTCGAGATTGTTGGTACCATTGTGGTTGTCCTCCTTCCTTTGTGTAGTACTTGCGGCCGCGTTCACGGATGATATGAGCGATTAGAGCGTTGCGTCGGGTCGGAAACTGATCCATCTTGACAACTCGGAGGACCTCCTTGTGTTTGCCGATCTCGGCGTAAACGTCATTGAGAAAAGAAACACGGTGGGCGCCCGTCTGGAGCCCGGCAGCGAGGAGGCCGAAGTCCCAGCGAATGTTGTGGTTCGTGATATTGACGCCGCTGATCTGCATAATCATGGGGACGTGGTCGGCAACGTGTAGTAGGCTACGTAGCTTGGTGTGGATGTTCCAATTCAGCTTCACGTATTTCACGATCTCCATAAGGTTGTCGTAGCCGATGAAGTAGTAGATGCGTGATCTTGCTTTGTTAGGCCCGTAGTAGGTGTTGCCGACGTGGATGTGCGTGTTGATGGCCGTCAGCTGGTGAGTCAAGAGCTGGTCGTGAATAAAGCGTCCGAACTCGGTCTCGTCGCTGGCGTGGTAGCTGCCGATCGCGTTGTCGGTGTGGAGATGTCATGATCGTCGTCCTAGTCCTTGGTTGAGGTCCGTAAACAGGATAGGCGTGACGCGAGCGGGAGTGGCGGTGCTTTCCAGTGTTGGTGATGACCTGCTCCGTTCGGTCGTGGTGGGAAATACGCAACGATGAGTCGAAGACGGAGCTGGCCTCGGTGCAGCTCGACGGCGCCTGCGCGGCCCCGCAGGTCGGGTTGTAGGGGGTGCAGTACTTTGACGATGTCTATCTTGCGGAAGAGGCGCTTGGATGCTGCGATGCTGCAGCCTGCTGAGCTGTTTGTGCGGGCCCCACGGCCCCAGCCGAAGTGGACCCATGTATGGTGGAGGCTGTCCTCGAGATGGCGCGGGGCGTCGGTGGTGCGTTGTCGTATCTTGGTGCCTACGTACATCATAATCTGAAGGGCACGGCATGTGTCGGATATGTGGTCGAGACGCCTTGGGACCCCCTTAAGCGAGAACGGGTTCCATCCAAGTATCGTGATGGCCTTCGTCGTGGCGTGATGTGGGCGTACGTCGGGGTCAGGGCGGCGCGGGGGTGGGCTAGCAGTCTCGCTATGATGAAGAGACGGAGCCCCCCCATGTCCAGGAATCGCATTCGGAGGAGGTGGGGGGGCTGGAAATTGATGATCAGGTCGTTCGTCACCAGGGTCCCGTTCATGTCGAAACTCAAGTCCAGGTGGAAATTCAAGGTCCGCATGCAATTGTTCCGCTGGTGGCAATTCAGGGTCAGCGTGGTGTAATCCTGCAAGTGCTGGCCCTCTATGTCCGTGCTGATGTTGAAATTGATGCTCAGCGTCCAGCAATTCAGGGTCAGCGTGATGTAATCCTGCATGTGTTGTTGGCCCTCTATGTTCGCGATGATGTTGAACTTGTTGCTCAGAGTCCAGTGGTTCTTCGCGTACTGGGTGTGGAGGTGGTGGTAATGCTGGGGTCGGGGGTGGGTGACGGCTGTAGCGTGGGACTCGTGCGCGCTGTGGAAGGGCATGTCGGTCCCATACTGCAGCATCGGCATCATCGTCTGGCTGGTGGTCAGGTGTTCTTTCCATGCGTTTGTCCGTATTCATGATGTCAGCGAGCGAGTCCTGCGTGCTCAGCAGGTGCGCGGCGCCCGCGCTCAGGAGCACAACCTGGGCGGCATGGCGGTGTGCGGGGTATCGTCTATGTGGCCCCCTGCCTTTCGGGCAAGGCGAGAGGGCGGTGACTGGAAGCCGCTGCTCCTTCGATGGCCTGAGCCCCGGCGGCCTTGATGATGATGATGATGAGGAGGAGGAGGAGGAGGAGGAGGAGGAGGAGGAGGAGGGGGCGGGGGAGGAGGAGGAGGAGGAGGAGGAGGAGGAGGAGGAGGAGGAGGAGGAGGAGGAGGAGGAGGGATGAGGGGGAGGATGGTTGGGGAGGAGGAGGAGATGGAGAACGGGGGAGGAGGTTGAGCAGGGGGAGGAAGGGGAGCATGGCAGCGGCACGAGCTGCGAGGGCAGCCAGGCCGCGGCCGGCGGGCCTGCCCCGACGTCATCTGCTCCTCCGTGACCGCCTCCCCGCCGACCATGACGGCCTGCTTCCAGCCCAGGCGGGGCCAGATCGGGTCGGATCGGGAGATCGGATCGGATCGGGAAACAGAGCGCGGGCAGGACCGGACCGAATCAAAACGGGCAGGGAGGGGGCTCGGATCGGTCAGCACCGCACGGGGAAGTGGGATCGAGTCGGCGACGCGACGACGCCAGCGTCAGATTCGTGTCGCGACGACGTCGGCGTCGGTGCTCGACGCCAGCTGGATCGTTCGGCTTTGAACGATCACGGCTCTGCGACCGCGCAGATCGCTCGATGCTGGACGACTCTGGGCCACTGGTCGTCGCACTCGGTGCGGAGCGCCCGAGGCTGAACGCCCTCGGTGCGGTCGTCGCCGAAGCGACACGACACGAACCTTCCATGACCCCCCTTTTCGGTGGCGAGCGAGGGGGGAAAGGAGAAGGAGAAGGCCTTCTCAGAAGGCGGCGGGACTGACCAGAAGCCCTCGCGCCTTCTGAGAACTTGTTTGTGTCTTCGGGGAAGGTTTAGAAAACTTCTCAGAAGACCAGGGGACTTCCGAGTCTTCTGAGAAAGCCCGGCCCTTCTTTTCATCCCCCCCTCGCTCGCCGCCGATCTTCCCAATCCCAGGACCAGTCAGCATCGAGGACGGGAAAACGGCTTCAGTCGGATAGTACGTCGGATCGGCCCGCGTCGGCACGGAGTCGGGATCGGATCGGAGGGGCCGCTCCTGCAGGGCAGCGCCGCGCAAGCGCCAGATCGCATTGCATCGTCGGATCCTCGGAATCGAGCCCGGTGGTCGGGCCAGCCGGAGCCGATGTCGAACTGGATCGAGATAGACCCTGCGAGGGGGGGGGGGGGGCACCTCCTCTGGACAGGCGGTCTCGCCGTCCTCCGCCTCCTCCTCCTCCTCCTCCTCCTCCTCCTGCTCCTCCTCCTCCTCCTTCTCCTCCTCCTCGATTCTTTGTTTTGAATGTGTGTGTGTGTGGATGTGTGTGTGTGTGTCTGTGTGTGTATGTGTGTGTGGGTATGGGCGTGGGTCAAGCTAGCCAGCTCGATCGAGTCAAGCATGGCATGCCCATTCCCACCCGCCCTCCCACAACATAAGAAACAGTGATGGCACAACTGGGGGCTGCGCGGGCATTTCAGTGCGAGTGGAAGATACCCCAGGACACCGCATTGACGTCCGCGCGGGATGTGCGCCGCGTCCCATTCCCGCCACGCATTTCGCATCGTCGACGACAAGACTGGCCATGTTGAAAGGAACAACGGACACGTTCCGCCCTCCCACGACATAAGAAACAATGCTGGCGCAACTGGGTGCTGGCGCGTAGCGGTAGTAGTAGTAGTGGTAGTAGTAGTAGTAGTAGTAGTAGTAGTAGTAGTAGTAGTAGTCGTAGTAGTAGTAGTAGTAGTAGTAGTAGTAGTAGTAGTAGTAGTAGTAGTAGTAATAGTAGCAGTAGTAGC